TGTTTATTCTTATTCTGTTGTGGTGGTTTGAAAAAAAGAAAAGCTCTCATAGGGAGGGACACTATTAGGCTTTATTGGAGTAGGTGTGGTCTTGTTGGAGGAAGTGTGTCACCATGGGGGTGGGATTTGAGGTCTCTTATGTTCAAGCTAAGCACAATATGGCACTAAATTCACTTCCTGTTGCCTTCGGATCAAGATGAAGAACTCTCAGCTCCTTCTCCATCACCATGTCTGCCTATATGCCGCCTTGTCCCACCATGATGATAATAGACTCAACTCTGAACTGTAAATCAGCCCCAGTTAAATGGTTTCCTTTATAAGAGCTGTAGTGTGGTGGTCATGGTGTCTCTTCGCAGCAGAAGCCCTAACTCAGACATGTGCATTTGTACTTTGTTTGCATCTATGTCAGCATGAGGCTGCTGGATGCCCTGGAACTGGAGTTGCAGACAGTTGTTAACCACCATGTGGGTGCTGGGAATTGAACCCAGGTCCTCCGGAAGAGCTGCCAGTGCTCTTAACCTCTGAGCCATCTCTCCAGCTCCCAGAATTAAAGATTTTATTTTCATTATTACTTTATACAAATAGCACAATCACAAATACAAAGATTTGTAACTTGTTAGAGCCCACGGGTTTTCGGAATACAAAACAGAAATTCCAAACAAATTTACTTTGACTAATCTTAAGAATTTCTCCCTTGGCTTAGAAACTGAAAATTCTGAAATGAAGCATGGACCGCTCCTTGGCTGCCTATCCTGATCTTACCAACTTTCACAGTTGACGGGTGTTACAAGCTGATGACACGTAATCTGTGCTACAAATCACAGGGAAACATCAAATACAAGGGCCTGTCTCACAAGAGGAACTCCGTCAAAAAGGCTTTTATCCTTGTGGGACTTATGGCTAAGGAGACTCGACATCGGACTGGGGCAGAACATTTCTAGAGAATGAGAAGAATTTGTTTATAAGCTATGGGGAAAACACTCGCTGCTCTCTGACTTTCACCATGCCCCCTCATCTCTAGTAAAAAGATGGAGATGAGGACAGAGGAATGCAGAGAATTCTTGGGGGGCATCGTTTGCAATTTGCAGACAATCACGTGACGAGACCAAGGAGATGAGGCAGAGCGTCCTTGTAGGGAATAACAGGAACCTGCTAGAAGAAGTTGAACTATCTTTCCATGGGTGGTTAGACTTTGCGTGACTCTTTTACCTTGGGAAAGAATCAAACTGCACAGAAGGGTGAGTCTTGAGCTCTTTATAGTTTTGCCCCAGGAAAATGATGGAACACTGTACCAGGGTCTAGAGACAATGAGGAAAGATGATACTAGGAAGACCTCTAGAAACTGAAGAGCAAGTATGTCAGCTGTGAAGACAACACTGTCCCTGGAAGATTCCAGATGAGGCGAGGGTGGAATGAGATGGGGGTCGGGGGGGGGCTCTCATTCCCATTTAGGCTACACTTACAGCTTGCAGACTCTGCCCGATGTAACTGTGTGGAACCCCAGTCTACTGAAAGAACTTTCAGAGGAGAACGGAAGAGGCAGCTGGGGCTGCGAAAGGCACTTGCTGCTCAAGCCTGACAATCTTGGGAGTCATGCACAGGTCCATGCCTGATTTCTGACACTCTGACTTCTTGGGATTTGAACTCAGATCCTCATGCTTATACAGCAGGGGCTCTTATCCTCTGAGCCATTTCCCCAGACAGAATTTAGCAAAGCAGAAGCAAAACAACAGGGGCTGGTGAGATGGCTCAGTGGTTAAGAACACTGACTGCTCCTCCAGAGGACCAGGGTTCAATTCCCAGCACCCACATGGCAGCTCGCAGCTGTCTGTAGCTCCAGTTCAAGAGAATCTGACATCGTTATACCAAATGTGCATGAAATAAAGTTAAATAAAGTTTAAAAAAAAAAAAAGCAAAACAACAAAAAAACAGGCTCAGAAGAATGGCAGAATGAGGATTCAAGCAAAATAGACATTCATAAAACTGTGTTCACCCCATACCTTCCCCTCCCTCCCCTCTAGAAGAAATTTCGAGAGCACCCACTAGGAGTCACTGAGAGTTAACACATCAGTAGAGAATTCGATAGTCCACAATACTAAGAAATTATTAACTTTTTGAGGTGTGATATCAAAATAGTTCTTATCTTTTAGAGTTACTGACTTTATGACCATGATGCTGTATCTAAACGCTGTTTCCCAGGAATCACCAGGGGTGGGGAGCAAGAGAGGAAGTACAGAGGAATCGGGGAGTTCTGTACTCTTCACCGGCTTATGCTTATGAAAATGCTGGACCACTGGCTCTCCTAATGAAAAGGTAGGCATGGGGCTGGAGCGATGGCTCGGTGGTTAAGGACACATACTGCTCCTCCAGAGGACATGAGTTCAATTCCCAGCAATGGCTGTCAGTGGTTCCCAACCACTTGTAACTTCAGCTCTAGGAGATCAGACACCCTCTTCTGGCCTTGCTGGAAACTTGCACTCATGTGTGCATCCTCCCTCTCTCTCTCTCTCTCTCTCTCTCTCTCTCTCTCTCTCTCTCTCTCTCTCTCTCACACACACACACACATACATATACACACACTCTCACACTCACACACATACATAAACGTAATTGCAACTAAATCTTGGGGGGGGGAGAAAGAGACGGCACAAAAGTTTGTTCTAGATGTAGCTCTTAGATCAAGCAGTGCCCACTTAGGTGCAGGTAAGTTAGGAGCCTCCTATGGGCTGAAGAGGACACGATCAGACTTCTGTCCATTGTTGCAGTCCACATTTTCAGCAGGGTCTCCCCTGATAGTTCTGTTTCTTTTAAAGAAGATTTTAAAAAAAAGATTTATGCTTTTTAGGCTGGGCATGGTGGCACACGCTAATCCCAGCACTTGGGAGGCAGAGGCAGGCCAATCTCTGAGTTCAAGGTCAGCCTGGTCTAGAGAATGAGTTCCAGAACAGCTGGGGCTACATAGAGAAACCGTATCTCAAAAAAATAAAAAGATTTATTTTTAAAATGTATGTGTGTGTGTGTGTCTGTGTGTGTGTGCCCATACACATGCTACTTCTGTATGCATGTACATGCTATGTGTGTTCTGGGAATAAAGCTGTTGATCTGTTTCTCTCCAGCCATGCAGCTGCTTCTTTGTTTCTTCTACTGCGACAGGGTCTCACTGCAGCCCTGGCTGGCCTAGAACTCATGCTGTAGCCCTGGCTGGCCTAGAACTCAGAGACCCGCCTGCCCGTTTCCTTGTAGAGATTAAAGGCTTGTATGTGTCACCTCGTCACCACGCCTAGCCTGATGCTGACTATCAAGAGTTAGACCAATGCAGGGGAACGAGAAAAAGAGAGAGAACGGTGAGTGAAGAAGAAACACTGGAAATCACGGGACCCTAAGCAGGAAGAAGCGGTCAATATAAAAAAGGTTCTGAGCGCTCAGGAAAACTGACCCATTTGTCTCACGAACCCTGATGGCCTGAGTTTGATTCCCCAAACCCACGATGGGAGGAGAGAACGGACTCTAAAAAGTCGTCTTCTGACTTCCACACATGCGTCATGGTACAACACACCCCTCCAACAATAATAAATACAAGAAAAAATGTGACGTCTTTCCATTCGATGTAGCTTTCTGAGATACCTTACTGGTAACCCTGAGGGAAGTGAAGTCAGGTGACGGAGTATAAGGCTGAATGGGAGTGAAGAGCCCAAAGGGGTGCTCCAGAAGGGGGTGCTCCAAAGTCCCCTGTGTGCCTTCAGATTTCTCCCTGGAGGAGGGAGGGTGGCCAGGAGCTTTCAAAGTATAAGGCTCAGGAGCCCTGTGGTGAGGACTGGGGAGGCACAGGTAAGAAAGCTGCGGAGCAGCAAAGGGGGCTGCAGTGTGGACTTCCATGGGTGAGCAATTTTCCCAGCCACCCCATCCTTCTGATTGTCAGGCTTCAGACATGGCTCAGTGAGAGGCTACAGCAGAAGCTGATGTATGACAAGGGTTCATTGCCCCCCACCCTGCAGTACCTCGTTGAGGGGTACAGAGGCCTGGAGATCTAGAGCTACCTGTACAGAGGCTGTCGGGGCGCACATGGGTGAGTTCTGTGGTTGATGCAGCAAAGCAGTGGAGGGGATGTGGGAGTCTTCCTGGGAGCAAGAGGCATTGTTTACCTGAGGGTTGTGTGAAGGGCAAGGGATCTTCCCAGGGAAGGCAGGGTCTGTGGAAGAGCATGAGCCTGGCAGGCGACAACAGGAGAGTATGATGGCCAGGTGTATGGAGGAGGGGTAAGGAACAGGGCCAGGGTGGAGGGCCCACGGAGAGCGTGTCAAGGAAGAAAGCTGAAGAAAGGGCTCTGGGCTTAGGGAAGACTAGGGAAGAAGAGGCACACGTGGCCAGCGGCCTGCATGCCAGCTAGACCACAGTGGCTGCTTAGCTGAGGGTTGTCCTTCCGGGAACACCGGGCAACGGCAGTTGCTGGTTCCCCTTTACCATCTATTTGTACAGATGCTGGAATCCATCCTTGGTGAGGGGCTCCCCCCCCAAAAAAAAAACTGCCCCCTTGCTCAGCTCTCACCTCTTTGATGGCTGCCATGCGCACAGTCTCGTAGTAGTGCAGGGGTGCATTGGGTGTGTTCATGTCGTAGCCGAAGCCCGCGACTGCCACTTCATCACAGCCATGCAATGCCATGGTCACGGCCACACTGCCAAGGGTTGGGATGTTCTGGCAGAGGAGAGAGGAGAGGAAGCATGGAGAGGTCTGTGGAGGGCGGATGGGGCTGAGCGCTCCAGAGCTCAGCAGCCCCATTCCCCACGGGCTTCCCTCCCGCGGCTCCCCTGCCTAGTCTTCCTCCGCCCGCCCTCCCCAGGAGTCTCACCCCCCTGCCCATGAGGCCGTTGTTGAAGGGCAGTCCAATGAGAGTGAAGGCCGCCTCCTGGATGAAGTACGGGTTGAGGATGCGAATCTCAGGGGGCTCCTTGGGCACTCGAGTGGCCACCGACTTCCAGAAGCCATCGGATGCACTCTGTAGGCACAGACACGGTGTAAGAGGACAGGAGCTGGGCACCTGGGGATGGGTCCAGATGAATGGGGAGGACCCACACGTATGCAGAGAAATGAGCAATGAGGAGAGGGGCCATGAGTGGAAGGGTGTAAACCAGCGCACACAGGAAGGCTCTGGTATGTGAGGGCTCATGGGATGTGTGCCAGGCATAGGTGTGTGAGTAATGGCCACGAGAGCTTGGAGGCGGAGGACAAAGTGTGGAGTGCTGTTAGGAGTCCTGCTCTGTCCCGAGTGCAGGGGCAGGGTGTCCCTGGGACACAAGGAAGGCCCGCAGGCCTGGTTGTCCCACCTCCCCACTAGGGGCTGGAGCCCACCAGAAGCCTGCCCTCATTCGCCTATCTGCTCTGCTGGAGCTCGGCTCCTTTTCCTTCTTCTGTCTTTCCTGGTTCTCAGTCAACTGTGCTAAAGTGGACCTGGAAAATAAAGACATTTCATGAGCTGTCACAGGACAGCGGACCGACACTCAGAGCTCAGTCCTGTCCGACCAGAACTGGGTGCTCAGGGTTGTGTTTGGAATAGTTCATTCTCTCTCACAGAGCTTGGTCCCAAATGTGGAGGCATCGCCTCTGAAAGATATCCCAATGTCTGACCCTGGGCCACAGGGCCTCTCCTCTTTAGCCTCTCCCTTCTTGCCACCCAGCCTCACAAAGACCTCAGATGCCCTAGACTTTCCTGGTCTAGACCCCAAGTCGGTCACCTCAGCCACTCTTTCACAAGCTCCCCGTCTCTACCCTTACAATAAGGGCTCTGTAGTGCCTGGACCAAGCAGTCAAGCAGTAAAGCAGCCTCCTCGGAATGGTTACTATGGTTACCATGGGCCTCCAAAGTAGCAAGTTTGTTACTTGCTGAGGAGGCACAAAAAAAAATCAACTAAACTTAGAGTAGAAGAATTGAGCACACCAAGAGGAAACCATCACTGGGTACAAGAAAAAGAGGCCCAGGGCCAGCGAGATGGCTTTGTGGGTAACGGTGCTTGCTTCCCAGCTGGCTACTTGAGTTTGATTCCAGAACCCACATGGTGGAAGGAGAGAACCAATTTGTCCTTTGACCTCCACACATGTGCCCACACAAATACACACGTGTGTGCGCGCACACACACACACACACACTAAACAAGTGTGTTAAAAACAAAACAAAATAAACAAAACAGACAGGAGAGATCCCCATGTGCAAGTATCTTTACCTGCTGATTCATCTCACTGGCCCTAAAAAGATTTTCGACTCCCCAGCACTGGGGATCAAATCCAGAGCCTCAAGCATGCTAGCAAATGCTCTACGACCAAGCCGCACCCCGGCCCGACTCCACAAACATTCTTAGGCATGTTCTTCAGAAAACACATAGAGAGTACACAAACAGAGTTTGAAATAAACAAATCTTAAAACAACACAAGCAAATTTAAGAGGGAGACGAAAATGTGGAGAAACATTTGTCACAAATAATAAAGAGGTCCTTGTTTTAAAATCTCATGAGAAGGACCAGGCACGGTGACAATATTATTGTAATTCAGCAGTTGTGAGGCTGAGGCAGAAGGATGGCCTAGGCTTCAAGGGTAGTCAGCCTACAGCAAGACCCTGTCGCAACAACACCCTTGCTCCAACAGACAAACAAAACCCCAAAATTATGAAAAATAAATCAGCGAGATCTCAGAAATGGGCAAAGGACGTAAGAGAAGGTTAAGTGTCAGCCCAGGGCCGTCCTCATGCTAGGCAAGCACGCGGCCAATTACCACACCCCCAGGCTGCAAGCCTGTTTATTACACTCGTACTTACGAATGTGAAAAGCCAGAAACATCCCAAAAGTTTACAAAAGTGGTTCAGCCAAGTGATATCCGATACAGGCCCAGAAAAGAAATGGCAGACATTGGGATTACATCTTCTGAGAATCTGGCCGCAGAAATAGCATTTATTTGACATCTATGTTGTCCACATCTTTTCCTCCCCCTTGCCCCTTTCCTCTACTGTCCATCCATCTTTCAAACCAGAAACTTGGGAGTACCCTTCAGATTCTCCTTCATCCCTCACCCATCCTTTTCTGGCCTCCTACTTCTTACATCTTATCCCAAAGACCCATGTCTCTCTCCCAAAGCTACTACTGCCACCTCGGGTCCCCAATTTGTTATTGCCCATAACAACTGGCCCATGCTATGCCTGCTAAACACTCGAGAGCCCCACAGAGTGAACAGAACATATGTGCCACATGAAAATGATTGCTGAATTCCAGTTGCTTATTTAACACACGTAGAATTGAGTACCCAGAACGGCTGCCCCTGCTTCCCAAGCTATGCTACCCTGCCAGAATGATATTCCCAAATCCAAACCAGCTTATATCACATGTGGCTGCCTCAGTTTACCCCCCAAGCCCTCGGAACCACTGCGAGCTAATTCCCCCATGCTCCCGTTGCTGCTTGTCTCGAACACCCACACTCACCCACACGATGCATCCGCCCTACACCTGACTCTTGCTCATCTTCTGATCTCCTGCACCCCAAGGAAGAAGTACCGACTAGCCTGTGAGTGATGATAAAACACCGAGTTAAGAGCCTGGCTCCTGGGATTCAGCTTCAGAGCTGCTCAATGGAGACTCTGAGCAAGGGACAGATTCCTAATGGACAAACCAGGGACGCTCAACATTTACGATGTGGGCCACTGTGAGAATTATACAGGGCCGGACTCCTCTCTGATTCATTTCTGTAGCCCAGGACCCAGCCCAGCTGGGCATGGTTACTAAAGGAGATACGACACCTTTCCAAAGCTCGTCCATTGGCCTCAGGAGCAGAGCAGCCCCAAGTAGCCAGTACCTCCTCAGTCCTGCCACTGTTCCAGCCACATTCTCCTTATCGTCCACTTAAGGCAACTTTTCTTTCTCTGTTTTCTGTCCTTTCATAGGTCAGATCAACTTGTGGGTCTCAACTGATTAGATTAATCAAGCAGGCACCAGTTCTTGTGGCTTCCGCATCCTGCCCCAGGTCTGTGGCTGTGTATGTAAAGGAGGTAAAGGTGTGGATAGCAGGATGACGTAGGACCAGCATGGAAGACAACAGGCTGAGCCCCTCCTGGATGGGCCGGGCTGTAACGAATGGATGCCCAGGAGTGGCAGATGTGCTGGTCACATGCTGCAGACAGACCTGTCTCTTCTCCCAACAACCCGTCCCCAGGCTTCTGCCTGTGACCGTTCTCATATACCTCGAGAAAGAAAACACAGGTTCCCCACCCCCAGGAGCTGCAGGGGTGTGAGGAATGAGCACAGCAGTGCGGGGGGAGGTAAAGGCTCCATCACTTGTTTCTCCTTTCATTTACTTCACAGACACAAGCGAAACATGTTCTAAGTCACACAACATTTGAGGCTGTGCCTAGATTGAACGTAGTGCCTTGGTCCCAAGACCAGGTGCCTTTCTGCCAGGCCATTATAGCTTACCACTGCTGTTCACATCTGGAGTCTGCAGCACAGGGGAGGGGCACCTCCCTTGCCTTCCAAGAGCTCTGACGTGAGTCAGGGGTCACTCAGTGCCCCATGACCCACTCTACACAGGGAATATATGTATATTTATATCATCATTCGCAGTCTTTCCATGTTTTAAAGGTCTCACCAGAGAGAATTAGCTTATTGCAAATCCTTCTAAGAATCAGAAAAGAAGTGCCAGTTGGAAGGGCGGGCCAGCCTCGCTTCTCTGGGCTAAGCTTCTGAAAGGAGAGGGACTAACCTGACGAGGACAAGTGCCCCATCTCCAGTACGAAGTGAGTAGCCTCTTACACACACACACACACACACACACATGTGCTGATGTGCACAAATTAGTAGTCTCTTACACAATACACATGTGATCTGCACAAATACTATAGTAGTCTCTTACACACACAATGCACACACGCACACATGCTGATGTACACAAATGAGTAGTCTCTTACACACACAATACACACACGCACATATGCTGATGTGCACAAATATGTGAGTAACTCTTCCTGACTTCCTACTTCTGCACAGAAGAGGGTAAGCTGAGGCAGGGTCTGTGTCCTTGGCACAGGTGATCAGTTTCTGTCCCAGCCCCGTATGTGTGCAAGCTCTGATGTCTGTATTGCCTTGGAGCAGACAGAAGAGGCGAAGGATAGTTTTGGGACCCTGGGGGAGAATCCAATGCTTAGGTCCCAAGTCCCAGGAAGCCCCACATTAGAGGACAAGGTAGTGGCACAGGCAATGCTTCAGCATTTCTTCTGCTTCTTCTCAGTCACTGTCCTGTTGGAAAGCTTCCTTGAGAATTCAGGGAAAAGCAGAATATTAAGAACAAGGTGTGAAGCCAGGAAGTGGTGGTGCATGCACGCCTTTAACTCCAGCACCCAGGAAGCAGAGGCAGATGGAACCCTGTGAGTTCAAGGACAGCCTGGCCTATAGAGTCAGTTCCAGAACAACCAGGCCTACAAAGAGAAAAACAAAACGAACAAGTGTGATGTGAGCTTTTGTTTCCCCAGCTATAAAAGTATGTATTGCGGCTGGAGAGATGGCTCAGTGGTTAAGAATGCCAACTGCTCTAGAGGACCCAGGTTCAGTTCCCAGCACACACATGGCATTTCACAACTGTTTGTAGCTCCAGTTTCAGAGATCTGACACCCTCTTCTGGCCTTTCTGGGTTCCAGGCATAGATGTGGTACACAGACATGCATGCAGGCAAAACACTCACATACATATACATCTCAGCCAATCTCCTAACATCAAGCACGCAATCAAGCAAACACTCTTCTCAGACATGTACACGGGACAGGCTTTCCAGGGTAGAAACTGAGGCTTATCTCCCAGTCCCACATCTCTGTGACCTGGGGCACATCAAGTCATCTGTTTAAGCCTCAGGTTCCTCTTGCATAAAACAGGGATGACAAGACCGACTTCCCAGAAAGCTGAAGGGATTAAAGGAGATGCTGCTTTGGTAGCATCTGGCAGTGTCTGGTATACAGAAAGAACTCAATAAATCTTTTCTATTATGACTGGGTGTTGTAGAAGCCAAGAGATTGAAACCGAGGGTGTGGCTGGAGGTGTCAGCCGCCACAGAAAGGCCAGCACGCATGCACACCCGCACAGGTCCACACCTGCACCCGCTCAGACACGGGACTGTGGAGCCAGCTTTGGCAGCGGGTGCCGGAGGCCTGCCTGATGCTGGGGGCACTATCAAGCCCACCACTGGCACGAAGGCTGCTTCCGTCTCACTTCTCCCACCCACGGGACACAACCCAGAGGCCAGTCAGTGCCACCACACCTCTCCTTGAGGACAGCTGCATTCCCTGTCACTCCCTCCTCCAGGAATGTCCCTGCCTCAGTCAAGTCTGGGCTGGCTCCTGTGTGGGGAGCTGCCAGGCTCCTGTTGATGCAACCTGCTCTGCTCTTCTCAGAACGGCCAGAAGACCTGGGGAAGAAAATAAGGAAGTGTTCCCCCAGCCAGGGTCTGCTACTGAGATATTTTTAGTCCCTGGGGAGGATTTCTTTGGGGGAGTCTGAGGACGGTGACGTTTGACTGTCGACAGCCACTGTGACAGGGCAGATGTGCCCACAGCTACTGCTTCACGCTAGGTCACCAGCTTTCCTGGGGTCTTTGTATCAGCCGCCATCTCACAGTGCCTCAGTTCCCTGCACGGGTCTGGTCCTGACCTTCTCAGGTTTAAAATCCTCAGTGGCTCCCACCACCCTCTGAGACAGCTGTATCAATAGTTCAAACTGTGGCTCTAAGGTTCGACCCAAATGCTCAGCTGCTCGCTCTGTGTCCTGAGGCAGCTCGCTAACCTTTTGAAGTCTCATTATCCCCAACTACAGGGTAAGTATACCCGTTCAGGCCTTATGGTGGTTTGTTGTTTTGACAATTAGAAGCCACACATACAAAATGTTTGGCTTAAAGCCAGCTCCTGTTAGCTTCTGCTATTGTAAGTCTTTAAGACACTAAGTCCAGAGACTAGAGAGATGGCTGGAGGTTAAGAGCACTTCTTCCTTTGCCAGAGGGGAACAGCTCGGTGGTAAAGCACTTGCCACTTATGATTAAGGCCCTGGGCATGCTCTCCAGCACTGCGACAGTAATCGAGAAAGTAAGTTACGAGTCTATCAGGCTGTTAAATAAAACAAAGTCTACATTTCCTTTAAAAAATACCAAGGAGCCGGGCGGTGGTGGCACACACCTTTAATCCCAGCACCCAGAAGGCAGAGGCAGGTGGATCTCTCTGAGTGTGAGGCCAGCCTGGTCTACAGATCGAGTTCCAGGACAGCCAGAGCCACACAGAGAGAAACGCTGTCTTGAAAAAACAGAACAAAAAACAAATGAAAGAAGAAAGTGTCATGGAGGGCAGAGCTGGAAACTGGAAACCAGACCTTGAGATCTATGCTGACCAGGATACTCTAGGGAAAGCTGGCCGAAGTCCTCCTCCTGCCCAGCCCTCTCCCGCATGCTAAGGCCCACTTCTGTTTGTGGTCTCCTCACTCTGTATATCCAAACTCTGCTTGCAGACCCTGCAAACAGCCTTCCAGGGGTTGAAGGGTAGGCTCAGAGCAACATTCTACCCTCAAGGATGGAAGAGGCCTTGGCAGAAGATATGGAGGGCTCTAGGACACGACAATGGGATAGATGAGCCTGAGGTGGGCACTTTGCTCTTGGTCTTCCATATTTTTTTTTACTCCATCTCATTGGGTGTGGCCAGAATATGAAGACATCTACTTCCTTATCTATTCCAAGAGCAGCAACTTTCTGACACCATACAATTGAATGGAATGTTGCTGTTGTTGTTTGAGACAGGGTTTCTCTAGATAGCCCCGGCTGACCTGGAACTAACTCTATAGACCAGGCTGGCTTTGACTCACAGAGATCCTCCTGCCTCTACCTCCCATGTGCTGGGACTAAAGATACACGCCACCACTGCCTGGCTGAATGGGATGGTTTTTAATTTGCTAAGTAACACACACCTTGCCAATGTCATTCTCTGTGCCCACAACTTTGCCCATCTGGCCAGCCCCTACATGAGACTGGAGACTGAAAAAGAGACGGTTAGAACCTGGAACTTCTATTAAGTACCCAAGGGGCAGAGAGATGAGGCAGTTGGACCCTTCTGACCAGGGTAGCATCTGTTGCCAGGCCTGGTTGCTTTCCCTGACTCAGCTTCTCTTGGCGCTGAGGCTGGGCACTCTCTCCAGTGGGCTCAATTGGACGTCTGAGGAGGCAATGGGTTTTGCAGATGGGCACCACGTGTCAAGGACTGCCACGTTCACTGCCCCACTGAGCCTCCACAGCTGGGAGAGGTGGCTGCGGCAGAGGAAGAGGGCAGCTCAGCTCCTAACACCGAACCTAGTTCTCTGTCCACCAGCCTTCCTCACAGGCAATGAACAGGAGGGCGCCCGTGATGGCGGGTCCAGAAGTCCGCACCCACTGTAGGCTGGCTATGCTGCTGCTGCTGTGTGCTCCGTTCGGCAGCGACAACCATAATTTGTGTAACTAATCCCTTGGGTCATATTCGGGTTTGGCTACTATAAATACCACTCTGAT